AAATTAAAAAAAAAAAAAAAAAAAAAAAGAAAAACCATATACTATTATCCAGCTTTGGAGCTTTAGAGTCTCCACTGCCAAGACTTGATTCTGCCCTTATAGGGTGAAAGCAGTCATAGACAAATATGGGCATGACATGTTTCCACAAATTTACCCGCCAAAGTGACAGGCTGAATTTGGTCTAGAAGTCACTGTTTACCAACTCTTGCTCTAGACAATATGCAAAAATTCACCTTCAACAAAGCAATGTAAAAGCTGGGTGCGGTTGTACATATCTGCAGTCCCAGCTACTCAGGAGGCTGATGCAAGAGGAATAGCAAATTCAAGGCTAGTGTGAGGAACTTAGGGAGACCCTGTCTCAAAATTTAAGTAAATAATTAATTAAAAGGGCTGGGATGTAGCTCAGTGATAAAGCACCTGCCTAGTGTGTGCCAGGCCCTGGGTTCAATTCCCAGTAAGGCACATATGCCCCATCCCACCCCACCCCCTAAAAAAGAAAAAAGGTAAAAGAAATCCAAAAAAAGAGTTTCCCATTTTCTTTCTGGTTTTCATAATGCCATCACTCCTAGCTCCTATCTCTTGTTCTACTCTGTATCCTCCAATCCTCTTTTTCTCAGACTACTGAAGAAAAAGGATTAATTGGCAACCTTTCACATAGAAAGTGCTTTGTGGATTGGCAAGTCACTCCTGTTATTCCTTTTCAGCCTTCCCTTTATTGCAAGGATGGCATAAACAACTAGAAAATAGGCCAGAGGGGACAAGTTAAGTAGAAAAAACAATGGGCTTCTAATCCTGGTTCTGCTACCTACAACTGTGAGAAATGAGATACTTATCCTCTTGGAGGATGATTTCCTTGGTACTAAGAAGGAAATAATACTGACTTCACAGAATTAATCTGCAGTTAAGATAATGTACATAAAGAAACTGACATTGTTATCATCTGTAACTAGTTGTATATAGATCCATATGGAGACCCAGTGTATATCTAGGGCTATCTTGTTGGGGCCTCAGGTAAAGATTAAGCTACACCATTGAACTCTCTAAAAGAAAGAATGAAAGATGTACATAAAACTACTACCATTAATGGTCTCTGGAAGATTGTTTCTCTTCTTGTTTTTTCTATATTTTTCTAATTTTCTATGATTGAAATAATATATTCTTCCTTGTTTGCCTTTTCTTTATTTATATACTTATTTATATACTTATCTATCACTGAGCTGCATACTCAACCCTTTTTATTTTATTTTTAAAATTTTGATTGTGATTGTGATTCTCCTGCCTCAGACTCCCAAGTAGCTATAACTACATGTGTGTACCACTATACTGGCAAAAATGTACTCTTTTCATAACTGAAGGAAAAAAAAATCTCTATAACTTTAGGAAATTTACGGCAGATCAAGGGGAATCAACGGTAGTCGATTTTCATTGGAATTTTCTCAGGAAAAATTGTTTTATGGTTCCAAATTTGATTTTGAGACAGGGTCTCAATAGGCTGTTCTCAAACCTATAGGCTCATCCCCAGGCCCAAGCTTATCCTCCAGCCCCAGCCTCCCAAGTGATTGGGACTCAAGTGTACCACACTTAGCTATGATTCCAAAGAGAGAAAACTGAGATAAACCATAAACAAACAAAATTAACCCCAACATTAAAAATTAATATAAAAAAGGACTCTGCAAAAAAAGTTTTTTGTAGACTTTAACATCGCTGTATGTTTTTGTAATTAGAAAAGAAAAAATCTTAAGGAGTAGGGGCAAAAAAATTCTTGAAAAGAAACACTTACCTGTAGCCTGCCTGGGGGCCTCTGAACTACTGAGCGTAAAATCCCTGCCATAAGCGTAGTGATTGTTCTTTTCAGCAGCTGTGAAAAAGTAGAAAGCAGACCTATCAGTCAAATAAGTCTTGGAAATGGACAGGACCCCCTTTTCTAGTGTTAACCAACAAATCAGCACATTACTTGTAAACCTGATTGAAGTTTACCAGTAAAATTTTATTTTAACATAAGAACAAGAATTAATTTATAGTGTTTCATTCAGATTCAGCAAAACCACAGGTGGTAATTATACATTAACCACATCCCTTTTTTGTCCAATGAGTTAGAGCCTTGGCTGATTTCACAAAATGGGGAAATGGGAGTTTACTGTCATTTGAAACATCTTCAGTAATGAGGGCAGATAAAGAATGCTTTGTCATAGAAAAACAGAAAGTTCAATCTGTTTTCCAATGTCATCCAGCCATCAAGAATATGTGTTCTGGGCTGGGGATGTGGCTCAAGCGGTAACGCGCTCGCCTGGCATGCATGCGGCCCGGATTCAATCCTCAGCACCACATACAAACAAAAGATGTTGTGTCCGCAGAAAACTAAAAAATAAATATTAAAATTCTCTCTCTCAAAAAAAAAAAGAATATGTGTTCTGGAGCCCAATTCTCCTAATTCCTAGTACTATACGCTTTCACTAAATCAGAATAATTTTGTTAAAAAGAAGTAAAGTCTCACTTTTGCTTATTTGTATTTTTGAATGATTCTAAACACACATGCATTGCTTTTGTTATGTAAAAAGATCATTTTGATCTAGTTAGACACGGAACAGTTCGTCTACTATATTGATGGACACTGAAAGCAGAAAGATTAGGTTCATGAAGTATCTATCTTAAAGAGAGTATTTAAATTTTGTTTCAATTTCTTGCCCAGAAAAGAGAATAATACCCATCTTTCACATAAATTATTCTATAAAGCACTTGAAACAGTACCTGCCGCATGAGAAACCCTCAATAAATTGTAGCTTTTATTATTATAAGATTATTAAATTATTATGAAGCTAATACGAATACTGTATACACTAAGATAGGGTATGTGTTGTCAGTGTCCATCAGTTTCTAGCACACTCAAACTCTTCCTATGATGTAGAGGAAGTTGAGAATCACCCAAGATGTCCCTGAAAAGAGCCAGACCTCTGGAAAACTGCTCAGCAACTGAAATCTAATACTAAATTATTTTGTCATACTTATTCCTCCCAGGCTAAGGGTTATATACTAATCTTACTCACTTAACTTTGTACTTTATTAAATCTTTCCTTTCTCATTTTCAACAAAATCCTGAACTGACCTTCTGACTTCATTCCAACTCCCCTCATGTCTTTTTCCCATAACAGCTGTATGTTATCTTGTTAAATAACGTCACTCTGCTCAAAACCACTGAAGAGGGAGGTCACACTTAAGAAGGAAGGCTATACTGGATTTCATTTGGAAATCAACATTTAGCTTTACATAAGCAGTGAAGGACATGAAAATAATTATATATGTAAGTATATACATGGGTTAGCTTTGTTAATTGAGAGAACCTAAAATCAATAACACCCAGCAGCAATGAACAAACTCACCCAGACCTTGGTTTCTAGTAGCATTATCTAACAAAAGGAAGCAGGTCTCCTCAAGAGATGGCTGATAATGTTTGGAACATCTTAGAGTGACCAAAAAAAAAAAAAAAAGACTACCAAAAAAAAAAAAAAAAATGAGTAACAAATAATTGGCTTATAACCTGAACCAAAATATAAATAAGCCCATACAATATAAATAAGTGGATAAATTAATAAGAGAAAACAAACAAATGTCCTGTATAGAAGAATTCTATGTAATTTATGAGGACACTACAAGGAGGTAGAGCAGAACTATTCACTCCTAACTGTGGGCTATGGTTAGTAACTTGCTCCCAATGAGTACAGTACAGAAAAGGGGAAAATAACTTCATAGAAGAAAAACCCGACAAATACTACCCCCGCTGATCAACATTAATTAACATCAACAGTGAAAACAGTAAAGTTGTTAGCATGTACACTTGATATGATGTAATGAGAATGGCACTTTACCTCCATGTTTGTTTGTTTGTTTCCCCCCCAAACCCATAGGCCCACTCTAAGAGAAAAACAACAAACTCCAATTGAGGGACATTGTGCAAAATACTTGACAGGTATCTCCTCAAATAACTAACAGCCTCAAAATTGTCAAGGTCATCCAAAACAAAGAAAGTATGAGAAACTTGTCAAGGAAAATCTGAGGAGATAAGATCATTAAAGTAATGTGGTATTTTAGATGGGACCCTGGAAATAAAAAGGACACTGGACAAAACAAAGGAAATTTGCATAAAATAAGTATGGATTTTAGTTAATAGTGTATCAATATTGGTTCACTGGGTGTTAATAATGTACCATACTAATATATGATTAGAAATGGACGTGGCACATATAGGAACTCTGCACTATCTTCACAACTATTTTGGAAATTCAAAATTATTCAAATATAAAGCTCATGTATTAAAAATCTAAAAATTTCCAGTGCCTCTCCATTTAATCACAGTGAAAAACAAAGCCCTTAACTCCCCTACCCTAACTCCCTCCATCTCTAATTACTCTTGTTTAACCAACAGACAAGCTGCCCCTTGCTTGCCCTGCATCCAGCCAAGCAGGCATCCTCCCCTGAACTGGAAGGATCCTAAAAAGGCTAATCCCTTCACCTTTTTCAATTTGAGGCTCAAATCTCATTTTCTCAATGAGGTCTGCCCTGGTCACATTATTTGACATTTTACCCATACAACTGTTAGTACTCCCAACCTCTCTATTCTACTTGATATTTTCCCCATAGCATGTCAGAGTCTTAATATAATTGTAAGTTTTGTTGTTTAGTATTTATCTCCATGTTACTTCCAAAAGAGAATCATTTTTAATTTTGTTATTTCTGGTTTGTTTTACTCACAGATATATTCCAATCTTCTTCCTAAAACAGCATCTGCCTCATTGCAGGCATTTGATATGTTTTTGCTGAATGAAATTACAGACATCAGATGTGACAGTCAAAAGTTATGTCTTTTCCCCCACTGAGTGCTCATACATGCTAAGAATTCTAACAGTGAGCTGCACCCCCCAAAGTTACATATTAATGAAGTAAAGATTATTCTTATAAGGCACTCTTGGACTATAAAGCAATTATACAGTCTTCCACTGTATAATAACTATTCTCTTGCACAGCTGCAGAAACAGGAAAATACCATGCTTCCTATGAGATAGGAGAACCCTTTCTATTCTTAAAAACTTTGGAAACTTGTCAAAAACTAGCATACCCCTGTGGGGTAGGCTACCAGGGTTACTGTTCTTTTTATGTCCTGTAATGTCTGATAGTTTTGTTTTGTTTTTTGTTTGTTTTTAAAGCATTCACCATGCATGTAGTGGTTCTCTTAAAAGACGATTTCTTCTTCTAAAGAGACAAGACATGGAATGACACTGGCCAAATTATGCTATGTCGTGCGCATGTTCGAATGTATAAAAACAAATCCCACTATTATGTATAATTATAATGCACAGATAAAATATAAAAAGAGACATGCATTTAAGCATATGAGGGAAAAACATTAATTAAAAATATAGAACTCGGAATTTCCCTTTCAATAAACCAAGATCTCTTAAGACAAGAAATGTATTTCTCTTCTCTCAACTAGCGCCTAACTAGTAGTAGGCAGTCCTCATAACTGCCTCTTGCCTAAAAAAGACAGAAGCAACTTTCGGTAGGTGACGATAAAAACATGGTTGTAAAAAAAAAAAAAATGGCAAATAACTGCCAACTCCCAAAGGTTTGCATTCTAAGATGCAACAATCTTTAAAAATAGGGCAATTTTGTCTTCTTTTTTAGAAAATTAAGCTGGACTGATCTTCAGTTGGAGCCCATGCCCATAAGTTATGAATATAGCAGAAGCACAGAAAATGCTAAAACAAACTTGAATTCCCTTTCCCAAGCAGACCAGCTTCGGTGGTTCAGCTCCAGGAGTTAGCGAGCACTCACGGGCCGGGCCGGGGCTCCTGGAACCAGCAATGGCTCAATGGCTTTTCACAAGCCAAAGAGACGGGGTTGGGGCACGGGCCCATATAGTCGCCAACTCAAAATGGAACAGGGAGAAATCAATCGCACGCCACAGAGAGTTACCAGACACACGCTCTTGGTGAAAAATCAAATATTTCACACCACTTATTTCCGACTCACCAGCGCCCGCTAACAGCGCATCCTGAGGTGCCCCACCGCGGAAACCGAGCGCAGGAAGGACTACCCAGCGCGCCACTCAAACCTTTCCGTCGCAACGCGTGCGACCCTTTGGTTCCGGGGAAGGGCGGGTTATTTACAGACCTTAATCCCTCCCACTGAAGGATGAGCGTAGGGAGAGAGCGCAGGCGCGTGGCGTCACGTGACCGCTTCTGGGCAGCGCGGCTCACCCGGGTAGGCTGAGCGGAGTTCTTGTAATTATGGCCAAGCCCCGGGTGGCGCTGGATGCGGAGAGCACGGCTGCGGCCACTGTGCTAAAACGGGCGGTGGAACTAGATTCGGAGTCTCGGTACCAGCAAGCTCTTTTGTGCTACCAGGAGGGGATTGACCTGCTCCTGCAGGTTCTGAAAGGTGAGCTGTGAGCCTCGGAGGGCATAAGGACCGTAAGTTTCGATTTCCGCTTTATCTGCAGTGAAATGAAACCTGAAAGTGATTCTTCCACCAGGAAACAGATAAGAAGGTGGGATGTCTACAGGACAAACGGGCTAGTTTCTTCTCTCTCTTTTTCAAGTATTATTATTATTTTTTAGTTGTTGATGGGCCTTTATTTTATTTATTTGTACGTGGTGCTGAGAATCGAACCCAGTGCCTCACGCATGCCAGGCAAGCGCGCTACCACTGAGCCACAACCCCAGTCCCTGGTTTCTTCTTTATGTCTGTGATAGATTGATGTCATCATGAAAATGGAGGGGGGGGGTACTATTCTAGATTTTAAAAGACTTAATGAGACATAACAAAATTACTATATAATCCTTGATAGATGGTAGGTGGGTTTGAACGAACTTTAAAAGACATTTTTGATCAGTTAAGAAAGTTTCGGTGGATTCGGTGACACTGAAATTACTAATTTTGTTAAGCATTTTTTTCCCCCTGAAAACTGTCAATATTTAGAGATGCAGACTGAAGTGTTTCAGAAAGAAATATTGTGACATCAGTATTAATTTTACTTAAGCAAGAAAATTTTTTTAAAAGTTTAGGGAGGCTGGGGTTGTGGCTCAGCGGTAGCGCGCTTGCCTGGCATGCGTCAGGCACTGGGTTGATTCTCGGCACCACATACAAATAAATAAAATAAAGGTCCATCAACAACTTAAAAATATTTAAAAAAAAAAAAGTTGGGGCTGGGAGTGTAGCTCAGTGATAGAGCACTTGCCCAACATGGCTGGAGGCCCTAGTTCAATTCCCAGCATAAATAAATAAATAGGCAAAGCTGCTAACAGTTTTTAAAATCCAAATAATGGATAATTAATATGTTCATTATAGTACTATGCTTTTTTGTTTAAACATTTTGTTTGAACATTTTCATTAAAACATCAAAAGTAAATTTTTTTTTTCTTAAATAGATGTACTGAAATTCAGTATAACAAATACACAGGGTTATAGGTAGACACATGAGAATTTTTGTGTTATATAGTTATTCATTATTGAAAAGTAACTCAAAATTCCTTTACTCTCAGCACAACCCTGACTCATAGAAGACACCCAATAATTGGGTAGTAAATTGACTAGCCCCTACACCCCAATCCAGGAGCCCCAGTGTGATCTAAGATGATTTCCTGGGTGCTTTCTGGTTGAAGCTTGTTATAATTTAAGTTTACAGAAGCTTTAAGAGAGCAGAGGGTTTCCTTCAAAGTTTGGTGCCTTTTTTTTTTTTTTTCCCCAAAACTCTATAAACACCTTTGTAGAGCCTATTTAATGGTGACGATGATAATGATGGTGAGGTCTGGTTTCATAATTAATATTGTTCTATGAATCATGAGTTGATGGCATTCTAATTTCCTTGCATGGAAGAGTAGTTAGCTTTCAAGTTCTGCCACTAGGAGATGGTAGTACCACAAGTGGAGCCCAAGGCTTTCATGACTTCTATACTGAATCACAAAATGAGAAATGGTATAGTGTCAGGTGGAACCCTGCTGAAGTCCTGGCTGCTGTAGGAATCTGAAACAGGAGAATCATAGGAGTTCTGCTCCAATGTGCTTCATTGATCCCAGAGCCATTACAGAAACAGGGACATGACAGAGACAGGTTAAGACCTCAATGCAAATAACTTTAATGTAGAGAATGTGTCTGGAGAGAGAGACAAGTGCAATGAGGATTTAAACAGGTAAATGTCTATGGGGATAGAAAGGTAGAGGAGGTGTTTGGTAGAGGATTTGGAGAAAAAAGAATTCCAGAGGTCAGAAATTCAGCTAAGAATAGGCATATTGTTTGTTTTTGTTTTACCAATAAATAGTTGAGTTTGGTTCAGCGTTTGTATGAGGAAGAGTGAGAAAAAAATAAAAGTTTAAAGTAGCTAGAGGTTTGGATCACACTGGACTCATTCTGTAGGCTAGGAGAATGACAGTATTACAATTGTATTTCAGTGTTAGTATTTCTTAGGAATATGCTTTCTCTCATGTATTTTCATGACACACTCCCTCTCCTATTACAGGCCTTTACACAAATAACACCTTTGTGAGGCTTTCCCTGATCTCCAGTATAAAGTTACAACCCCATCCTAGCCCTCCCTGTCTGCCTTCTTTTTTTTTTTTTTTAATTTAATAGCACTTATCACAATCTATTGAATGTATTTTAACAATTTATTTTTATTGTTGTCTTTCTTCCCACTTAAAGGGGAGAATTTTGTCTCTTTTATTACCCGCTGTATTCCCAGTGCTTAGAACAATGTCTGGAAGGTAGTTAAGCTCTCACTAATTATTTCTTGAATAAATGACTGAATATGCTAAGGGTGTAGGATAGATATTAGCCTATAGACCCTGGATTCCAACAGACAAATGAGAGTTCCTCCTGGTATTCCAAGGAGAGGTGATAGGGCCTGAATGAACCAGAGATGCTATCAATATTAGGATAAGGAGGGGACAGTATAGATGTTGAATTACTAGCATTGGCACATGATTGGATGTGGGGGTGAAGTTTCATTGGCAATCAAAGATAACTGTAGAGTTTCAACCTTGGAAAATCAAAGCATGATGATTGAAGGGTAGCCTACAGTGTCTACCATTGCCAGCTGATCAAAGACGATGACTAAGAAAGGACTACTACTTTTGTACAACTAGAAAAGACTACTATGTTGCTGAGCTTAGCTTTTGAAATCACTTAGAAATATTTCATTCCTAAAGACCAAATGGCAAGTAATTAAATTGAGTGGGCAAATGCAGACTTATTTTTCCAAGAAAGAAAACATTAGTTGAAAAATTGGTAAAATTCAAATAAAGTTTGATAAAAAAATGAGAAATTAAAAATGAAACTATTATGGAAAATATAAGCAATGTCGAAGGAAGGAAAAGAAGAAATCAGAAATGATTCGGTGGGGTAGATAAGATTTTTTTGGCAACATGGTCAAAAATAACATGTTTTTTTTTTTTTTTGCGGGGTGGCTGAGAAAATAATTGAGCTAATTATAAATGAAGTTGTCTGAAAGAAGTTGGTTTTATGGAAGATAGTTCTTGTTATCTTTTAATTATGCTAAAATTTAAAACTTGTGGGTAATTAGGACAAAACAGTGCTTGGACTCAGGTTTAATACGTAGGAAGGTATCTTTCTCAGCCCACCAGGTTTGGTTTCCTGTGGGTGATAGCATCAGAGACCCATTCCTAAACAAAGCTGCTTCAGGTGCTTACTAAAAGTGAATATCCTGCATCAAGCTGAATTTGAGCTTAGCATCTATATATTTTAGAACTAAGACAAACAGTGCTAAAATAGGAAATTTTGGGGAAACTGGACATAATGCTTGAACTAAATAGAAAAACTGTTTTGAGACTTGAGATTTTTTTTTTTTTTTTTTTTTAATAGGGACCAAAGATGATGCTAAAAAACGTACTCTCAGAGAAAAAATTTCAGGCTACATGGATAGAGCAGAAAACATAAAGAAATATGTGGATCAAGAAAAAGAAGGTAAAAAGACTACTTTCAGAAAATGTGTCCAGGACTGGGGTGTGGCTTGGTAGTAGAGTGCTTCCTTAACCTAGCATATGTGAGGCCCTCAGTTCAATCCCCAGCACTAAAAAACAAACAAAAAACAGTAGAAAAAAAATGTGTCTGTAAGTTACAGTAATATATTCTATTTACTCAGTATTTCTGGCTTTTGTCCTTTGGACCTCTGTGTGGTATGGACTGTTTGAGCCTGGGAGATTATAGATTTACTCTGTATTTCCTCTTCCCTGTATTGGAGTTATCTTAACCTTTTTTTTAAGAAAGCATGCTTGTCTTTTCATTGACACATTTAGCACCCAACACCAACTTAGAACCTGCTGACCTGTTTTATCATTTCAATCTCATTAGAACTTTAGGTTTCACAGCATGAATCCCCTGAAGTCTACCTGGACGTGTGCCACGGGAAGATTTTGGTGCTTTCCCCCTTTGCGCTTCTGATGAAAGCTATACATACTGCAGAACTTTGCCATTTTTAAAAAGGAATGTGCAGATCCCCAGGAAGCTTGTGTATGGAACCCAGTTTAAGAACTACTACAGAGAAATACTGAATATGGATCCCGGATTTTATTTGAAAGTCTAAAATCATTACAGTAGCCAAAGAAACTCCTGGGACTTCTTTCCGATTTTATTGTGAATCAAAATATTTCAAGAGTTATGTATTCCTAATGATTAGAGGTGAGATTTTAATTCCCTACTCATAAGATCCAGTTTACAGACATCTGTATAAATGGGCATTGCCACTCTTATCTGAAGTGCACTCTAGGGCCAGTGGTTCTGCAGCCCTCAAAAATAGTGTCCTCAGTCCTTAGTTGATTTTCCTCCACATTCTCACAATCCACTGCCCAGCTCTTCCTAGTGTTCTATACTGACATATCCTGCAGACTCCCACTGAACTGTTTAAGTGGAAATAAAACTGTACTTTCTTCACCATAAGTTCAAATATAGAATGAAATTTACCTCCAAAACAATGAAATATAGTACCACATCAGCACTGAGTTAAGATAACTTATATGACTAGCATGGCTTGAAAATTCATGCATATTTGCTGACATTATCTCTGTGGAAATATTTGGAACAGAATCCAAATCACAACTGTGTGTGTGTGTGTGTGTGTGTGTGCGCGTGCGCGCGTGCGCACGAATTGCCTGGGGGTTGGTTGTTTATAGTGCTAGGAGTTGAACCTAGGACCTTGAACATGCTAGGCAAGTGTTCTACCACTGAGCCACACCCTAGCCCAGCTTTTATTTATTTATTTTTTTGACTTTAAAAAGCTTCTTTTTTTTTTCCTTTATTTAGCTGACTTTGTGCTTATGCTTTCAACACTTTCACAACAAATTTCTGCTCCTGATTAAGAAAGTATGCTTGTCTTTTCATTGACACATTTAGCACCCGACACCAACTTAGACCCTGCTGACCTGTTTTATCATTTCAGTCTCATTAGAACTTTAGGTGTCACAGCACCTGGACATGTGCCACAGGAAGATTTTGGTGCTTTCCCAATCTTCTTGGTACAAAAGTAAACAATTCTGTTCCCAGGGTTTGGGTATAGCCTGATTTTGTAGGCTTTGTTAGGAAATCCTACAATAGTACATCAAATAATGGGCCATTCTGAGTGCCTCTAAACACTACTCTGCAGAGGGGCCAAACCACTTTAGAGAAGGTGTATAGTGCAATAGCACATAAGTTAAAAATTACCAGTAGGGTTATATTTTTTAAAAACTTTAAAGTTCTCCGATAACTTATTCAAAAATTAGTAACACCAGTAGAATTATCCTATTGATCATGTGACATTGCCAGTCTTTCACTTGAATTATTAAGTTGTACTATAAGTTTCCACTTAAAACATTCTGTAGTGTGATTGGCAGATACACGGCTCTGGACTCAATTGCCAGCACAAAAAATTTAAAAGAGAGAGAGATAAAACAACAACATCTTTTAGTGCTAAGAAAGACTTCTGAATGTCCTGTTAATGCTGTTTGTATTTAATAATTTATTAAATTACAAGACCAAAAAAAAAAAAAAGGATAAGTCTGAAGAGGACCAGCTGCTACTAGTTGTGATTTTACCTATGGTAACAAAAAGTTATCTAATGGGATGCTTTTGTACATACAGTACTCTCTCGAATAAACTTTTTTCTCTGTAGGATCCAGCTCAGAAACCTGTTCCAAGAAACCTCTGGAATTTCCCCTTCCTACTTTAATGAAGATAGAATCACTCATGGAGTGGTTTGTCTTATTTACCTCTGTATGTGTAGCATCTTGTAATATGTACAGAATAGAGTAGACATTCAATAAATATTTTTTGAGAGAATAAGTGTAAAAATTAATTTGTAATTGATCATGAGTAATATAAAATGTATAAAAATTTATATTACTGAAGCTTGTGTCTTATAGATGGAAAATATCACAAGCAAATTAAAATAGAAGAGAATGCGACAGGATTCAGTTATGAGACACTTTTTAAAGAATACCTTAATGAGACAGTTACAGAAGTTTGGATAGAAGATCCTTATATTAGACAGATTCATCAGGTAAGTGAAATACACTAAACTATAATGAAATGTTATTTTAAATGTATAACCAGCCATCCATGTTTGTGGGTTGCACATCTAGATTCAAAGGAAATTGAAAACATCTTTATAAAAAATTGACATATGCCAGGCATGGTGGCACACATCTGTAATCTCAGTGGCTTGGAAGCTGAGGCAAGAGGATCACAAGTTCAAAGCCAGCCTCAGCAAAAGCAAGGCACTAAGCAACTCAGTGAGACCCTGTCTCTACATAAAATACAAAATAGGGCTGGGGATGTGGCTCAGTGATTGAGTGCCCCTGAGTTCAAACCCTGGTGCTCCACCCCCAATAATTTGATGGCTGTCCAAGTTTTTTTCTTGTCATTATTCCCTAAGCAAAATAGTAAAACAATTATTTACATAGGATTTACATTGTATTAGGTAATGCTATTATAAGTATCTACAGATTCAAAGTATTTAGGCGGGTACGCAGATATTCTGTGCAAATACTGCAACATTTTATATAAAGGACTTGAACAACCATGGGTTTTATTATGGTGGGGGTCACTGAAACCAGTGCCCCAGAATACCAAGGGATAACTATGCTAGCTATTAATAACCCATCTCGCTGTCTTTCAGCTATATAACTTACTTCGATTTTGTGAGATGCTTATTAAGAAACCATGTAATGTAAAAACTATTCACCTTCTCACCTCTCTAGATAAGGTAAGTATCTGGAAGAACTTTCTTAACTTACTAATTTTATTCGGTTACAAGGTATAGTCTGATCAAGGAAAACCTTGATGCACTGTATTGGTTAGATCTATTTCCTTGAAATTGAACTTATTATCTAAATAATAAGCATAGCATATCTTGAGAAAAATGCTGTTGATTTTAGGATGTTGACCTTATTTGGCCATTTTGATAACCTCTGTTAGTTTAGGTAGTTTGTTAGTTCCGTGTTTTGGAGGTGATCATGCAGTCTGCACTTTGGGCAGTTTTGTCTCTTTATCTGGGATTAGCAGTTTGATAGAAGGCATCTCTATTTTTATTTTGACCTAAGTAGTAGTTTTTCTAAATAATCATGATTTCCAGGATTACTTGGATAAGTAGGCAGCCCCACTTGAATAACCTAAAGATAATTACTAAAATACATAAAAGGAGACAAGTTGGAATTGTGAATGTTCATGTTAGAAAAAGAACAGTTATTTTTATAAAAACTATTGTTTTCGAAACAACTTCACAATCTTGAGTTACTTGTTATAACAGATATAGAAACTAATAGAACCTTTTTTTCATTCATGTATTTATTCCTCACTCAAAATAAGTCATAATTTAAAGCCATAATTTTTCCACATTTTTAATTGGTACATTATAGCTGTACATACTGGTGGAATTTGTTGTTACATGTTTGTACATAGCATACAATATATCAATATAATTTGGTCAATGGCATTCCCCAGTGTTTCCACTCTTCCCTCCTCCCTACCCCAGGTCCCTTTCCTCTGTTCTACTGATCTCCCTCCAATTTTCATGAGATTCCCACTCTCCCTTTTCTTTTTTCCTTTCTAGTGTTCATATATAAGATAAAACATACAACTGTTGGCCTTCTGGGTTTGTAAAGCCATAATATTTTAAAAGATAAAGGAGAATTTGTGATGTTAACAAGACAAGTACCAGTCTAAGGTGCAACACTGAACAGTTGTTCTCTTTTTCCTATAGTGGAATAAATGCATGACAGTTACACATAAAATTTCACTAAAGATCTGGAATGAGGCAAATAATTCTTCGAAACAAACTGTCCAATGAGCAGAGGCATGCTGCAAATATTTTTCTGTTAATATTTTACTATAAGATGAAAAAATTTCCAAAGTGACTACTAATTCAGATCCTTCATTTCCTGTGCCTGGCCTTGAATTCTATCTTCCTTCCTTGGTGACATCCAAATCCAGGAAGGTTTCTGCATTCCATGCTGAAAAATGCATTCCTCAGCACAGATGGACATTAATGAGCCCATGTGCAACCTTCATGCAGTACCTCCAGGGAAGTCAGGAGCTCAAAACACAGAGCACAGCATCATTTATATAAAAAATAATTTTGGCTGGAGATATAGCTCAGTTGGTAGAGTGCTTGTCTCACATGCACAAGGCCCTGGGTTCAATCCCAGCACCACCAAAAAAACAAAACAAAACACTCATATATGTGTGTGTGTGTGTGTGTGTGTGTGTGTGTGTGTACATTTATATAAACAATTTTAACTGTCAAATGAGCTCTGACTTTTGAAGACCACATATATAAACAAACCAAAATACTGTCTTCATATCTTTTTTTTTTTTGTAAAAAGTTGAGTAAACCATCAAAGTAGGAAAAAAAGTACAGAAACCATGAAAAATGAAAATTTAAAGGGTTTATGCCAAAAAAGACAAACCAGTCCTCTCCAGCCCAACTCATCTGTTTTGGGGCGGTGAAATTATATACAGGGTTATCAGGCAGTAGATGGTCCCTCCCATAGTTACCGCCATGCAGCTCTAATAAAGCATTCAGTCAAGCAGGCCTCATTTCAGGTGGATGTGCACACCATTGGATTCCTGGAAAAACTTCTGTATCTCTGGAACTTTGTTCTTCCCAGCATAATCATATGCAATGGGACTGGTGGTCAGTTTAGATGGCATGACAAATATGATAGGTGGCTCTTCTCTGGAAACCAGAGACCTTAATCCATGGAATGTGTCACATGAGTGGACTTCAGAAACTTCATACACACAGTAAAGATACATCTTAATCTGGGGGCTGGGGTTGTGGCTCAGTGGCAGAGCGCTTGCCTAGCATGTGTGAATCACTGGGTTTGATTCTCAGCACCTCATATAAATAAATAAAAAATAAAGGTCCATCAGCAACTAAAAAAAAATTAAGAAAAAAGAAAGATACATCTTAATCTGGAAGAGCCCACAGACTTGTAGGCCTCTTAAGCCCAAACTCCAGCCAACTTCTGCATGAAGTCACTCAACTCATAATACATGATAACCTGAGTCCACAGCTAATGCTGTGTGACCACCTATAGAACCTTTTCATATTAATCCATCTATATAATATTCATTGTATAGCTTAGGGATAATTTAAAATATTAATAAATAAGGCAGTAATTATATTTTTGCTCTTAGCAGGGGTGTGTGAAAGAGTCACAAAGAAATGGCCTAGAAGAAATAAAAACGTCACTCAGTAGACATGGAGTGCTGTTGGAAATAGAATACTCTTCTTCAATACATGACCGAGAAATTAGGTTAGTGTACAGTATTTTTATTTTTATACAATTGAAATATATGTTTAAAATTTTTCTTAATAAATGTCATAATTGCATGTAAATATTACATTTAAATATTCAAAATTCAAATAAAGCTCAGTTCTAGTAATTTCACTTTTGAAAAGAGGAAAACCTTAGCTTACTTTGTTCTGTGAGTATAATATTTCCTAACTGAATTGAATTTACATGTTCTATGTCATGTGGGAAGAGGCAGTACTGCTTTTCTGCATGGTACATTAAGTATTATGATATTGAAATAATTCTTTTTCTAATGAAATTAATATTTAGTGTGGTTTTCCTTAAAGTAGGTAAGTAAATATTTTGATGGACACAACAGTATGCTGAGTCAATAAGAAAACAGTATATGCGGTTATTTTTATAATATTTTCCCTCTGTTTAGAACAGTGGTTTTCATAATGATAGCAATGGCACCCTTATTTTTAATGAAAATTAACTTAAATATGCAGAACAGATGAAAATATAGTTGCTGAGGTTGCAACAGGGGTAAAGGTCCAGGACTCTTCCTGCTCACTTTCACCATCTGCAGGTGGGAAAACCCCCAGAACACCTCGATCCCTTGACTGACAGCTTCCCTGAATATATTTGGTAACCACTTGTTAGCAGAACAGGGAAATTTTATCAACAAGCTGAAATTCAAGAATAAATTTTAATTTAATTGTTAGATTTTTTAATAGCTAATCAAATCAGCTAATTATTTCTTTGGTCCTTTTGTTTCATTGTAAACAGAGCCCGTGATTAACCCCAGGTTAGATTGAACTTGTGTCATTGGAGGAAGTGGTTTTCTTGGTTAGGGGGAAATTTTGCTCCTACTTAACACAATACAGCTTTAATAATTGTCTGATTTTAATGCCTTGAATATAATACTCTGTATTAATTTCAATAGGTTCAACAATGGATGGATGATTAAGATCGGAAGGGGACTTGATTATTTTAAGAAACTGCAGGTAGGAAGCTAGGCATGGTGGCAATGCCTATAATCCCAGCAGCTTGGAAGACTGAGGTAGGAGGATTGCCAAGTTCAAAGCCAACTTTAGCAACTTAGCGAGATCCTATCTCTAAATAAAATATTAAAAGGGCTAGGGGGTGTTGGGGATGTGGCTCAAGTGGTAGCACGCTCGCCTGGCATGCGAGCAGCCCAGGTTCGATCCTCAGCACCACATACAAACAAAGATGTTGTGTCCGCTGATAACTAAAAAATATTGAAATTCTCTCTCTCTTTAAAAAAAAAAAAAAGGGCTAGGGATATGGCTCAGTGGTTAAGTGCCCCAGGCTCAATTCCTGATAGCAAAAAAAAAAAGGAAAAAGAAAGAAACTGCAGGTAGGACATAATTTTATGAGTTAGTTTGTAGTGCTGTTTTTGTATAACTTTTATCTATATGTATATGTATTTTCTTCCTAGGGTCGTTTTCCCCTTGGATACCATGATTTTGACCTGAGGCCATGTCATGAAACAACAGTGGACATTTTTCATAACAAGCATACAAAAAAAATATGATGGATAGTGGCCTAGTCAATATATATTTCTACTTTCAGTGATATCTTAGTCCATTTTCTGTTGCTATACCTGAATACCACAGGCTGGATAATTTATAAAGAATAGAGGTTTATTTAGCTCTTGGTGGAGGCTAAGACATCTTAAGAACATGGTGCTGGCAACTGGTGAGGACCTTCTTTCTGCACATGGAGGACGGCATCACATGGCAAGACAAAGCAAGCATGCCAGAGAGCTCACTTTTATAACAAAGCCACTCCTGTGAGGCACAGCCCTCATGACCCAGTCATCTTCCAAAGGTCCCACCTCAACACTGCTGTACTGGGGACCATGTTTCCAACACATGAACTCTTGGGGAACACATTTAAACTATAGCAAGTGAACATAAGATTTTTTATAAATTATTTTTTTACTATGAATAGACCTTTCCTATAATAAATGAATTAACAATAAACTTACGTTTCTACTCATTTATGAATTCTGTGTGTCAACTGTAGGAACAATCAGATATTTTGGCAAATGCATTACTCAATAGGTCTACAGTGTTTCTTTTTATATAGTCATATAGCTGGTTAAGATTTTGCCAGCTTTTTCTCTATTTGGCTGTTGGAAAATAAGTCAACAAATAATGAGCATCTCTTATGATGTGAGCTGGATGTTATTATTGCCCCTGGGAGTTTAGAATTCAAGAGGGAAAATCATAGTTTACAGTGATCTTAAGAGAGAGATGGGTTTGGGGTGGGGGATATAGCTGGGGATATGGCTAGGGATATAGCTCAGTGGTAGAGTGCATGCTTAGCATTTGCAAGGTCCTGGGTTTGATCTCCCAGTATTTACCCCCGGCTCCCTCACCAAAAGAACAAAAACAAAAGTACGATATTAACTATTAAAATTTTAAAAATTGTCTTTGGCAGACATTCACCAACACTCCGTGGTCTCCTATTACCTAGCCCCATGAAGGCAGATCAACTCATTTAGTCATCCTGATGCACATACTGCCCCTCATTCACCTTGGCTGACACCTTTATAAAGCCTTACAGCTTAGAATCAACTGTTCTGGATAAGCTCATCCATCCAGATGCCAGGTGATTGGTTGGGGACAAAGACCAGGTTCCATGGTCACAGGCTGGAAGAGGAAATATATGCTGGAGGCAATGGGCAGTGCACAAATTAAAGAATAAACTAAGCCAGAGGAAAACAAGTACCCCAGGATTCAGTACTGGAGAGTGCACACATAAACATCTGGAGAATATGCCAACGGAGAGGAACAAAGAATATGAACAAGAATATTCTTAGCATGGAGGAACAAAGCCAGGTAGAGACCTTTGGCTGTCCTGGGCGGGCTCAGACATTAGGTTTATTTAGCTTTCATGAGCCAGTAGGTACATGATTGAATTGGTATAAAAGGCAAGGAAGGAATTACAGAAAGGTTCCTGGTACTTTTCTTTGATGCTTTCAGGTTTAGAAGCTGAAAATGCTAAACCTAAAAAATTCAGGGTCTGAGAACACTTGGATTTTAGGCCTAACAAAAGTTCCTTTCAGCATCTTAGCTTATCCTCATGGTGTGGAAGTGGCACAGCTTTTCATTTGGGTGAGGACATCTCTACCTTCCTATTAAAATAATACTGATTTCTAGGGGCTGGGGTTGTGGCTCAGTGGTAGAGCACTCGCCTAGCACATGTGAGGCACTGGGTTCGATCCTCAGCACCACATCAAATTGAAATAAAGATATTGTGTGTCTACCTACAACTAAAGAATAAATATTAAAAAAAAAAATAATAAGGGGCTGCGGATGTGGCTCAAGCGGTAGCGCGCTTGCCTGGCATGCATGCGGCCCGGGTTCGATCCTCAGCACCACATACAAAGATGTTGTGTCCGCCGAAAACTAAAAAATAAATAAATATTAAAAAATTCTCTCTCTCTTTAAAAAAATAATAATACTGATTTCTAGACATATGTACATGTCACTGTAGAGAATCTGCAGTCTACAACCCTCTAAATTATTTTTCATTCAGTTCCTATAAAAATCCCATCGAAAGGCAGGGGATGTAGCTCAGTGGGCCCTGGATTCAATCCCAGCATGGGAGGGGGGAAGGGACCCTGGCTGAGAGAGTATTTAAGGAAAAGTTCCATTATTCTATATATATGGGGCCCCCAGATCAAATTAGAACAGTAGAAGGCTACCAGGTGCAAGCTTAAATATGTCAAGGAATGTATAAGAACTAAAGGAACAACTACAAGTTTTACAGAAAGATGTAAGAAAACTCAGAAAACTGGAAAGAAAAATTACATGTTTTTTTAGTTGTAGGTGGATAGTATGTTTTTATTTTATTTGTTTATTTTTATGTGGTGCTAAGGATCAAACCCAGTGCCTCTCATATGCTAGGCAAGCACTCTGCCACTGAGCTACAGTCCCAGCTCCTAAATTACATTCTTGAATGGAAGGTTTCCTGTCAGTTCTCCTTAAATTGGTTCATATGTTAGATGACGAAGATGACTAGCACTAGGAGACTTGCTCGACACAATTATAAGACACAGCTACAATAATTCTTTAAACATGAATGGGCATAGGAATGGCTAACAGTGGAATACAATAAAGAACTTAGAAACAGAAAGTCAGTCTGTGTGTGCGGATAATATGTAATAAACATGTCAGTTTAGTGGTTGGAAAAAATATTAGATCTCTGTCCTGCTCTACTTAAATAATCCTAAATGAATGAATTAAAACTAATTAAATAGAAAACCCAAGTGTATTTTTAAACCCCTATTAAATATATAAACATAATACAAAACCCAGGAACTGTCAAAGGAAGAGCAAAAGAACAGATCATATATTAAAACAGAAGGACCCAGGGCTAGGGTTGTGGCTCAGTGGTAGAGCACTTGCCTAGCATATTTGAGGCCCTGGGTTCAATTCTCAGCACCACATATAAATAAATAAAATAAAGATCTATTGACAACTAAAAAAAGAAAAAAAAAAACCAGAAGGAACCAAAATGAAGTTTAGAAACATGAAAGATCAAATTGACAACATATAAAAAAGTTTTAAGATTCCTGATATGTAAGAAAGATGGTGTGATTTTCAGCAGTGACCCTGATCTGCCCTTTAGCCTCATTGAGTAGCTGGCTCTTTGAGCACCATTCACTGGTCTTTCCTGCCAGTGTGAGCATCCCCAGCCAGGTGCTGCCCTACTTTTCGTGCTTCATGAACCAACTTCTTAAAAGGTTTCTCTCTAAACAGTTCTTTCCCATTTGTGCACCAACTGTTCATACTTTCCACCACTTCACTTGCTGCTGTCCCAGTCACTCCACTGAAATTGCTTTTGGTAAGCTCAATAGTGACCTCCATACCACCATATCTAATCAGCACTTCTTAACACCTTCGTATTGACCTTTGGGGGCATGTGACCAAGCTGGTCCTTTTCTTCTTGAAACTCAGCTTCTGGGAAACATGCATTTCTCTTCCATCCTTCCTTTTGAACAGTACAGTTGGGGTCAAGGGTGCTAGCTCAGTGGTAGAGTGTGTGCTTAGCATGTTCAAGGCCCTGGGTTTGATTCTAGACACAAAACAAAAAAACACTACAGTTCCCCTGAAGTAGGTAGTAACCACTTTTCTTCAACCCATACTTTCCTGGAGCGACTGTAACAGTAAGTTTTCTTAGTAAAAAGCAATAAAAACTGCTGCTACTTGATGTAAGCAGGATGTATGTGGAGAGCATTAAAAGGCTGGTAAGTGGTTTAAACCATCACCATGAGAGTTATAGACTGAAATGTGGAGGCTTTGCAGGGAAGATTTGTAACCCAGAATTAATCATGTCACCCTGTGATAAGGGATGGATGTGGTAGCCTACATCACTTCTGTTACTGGCACTGCCACTGCCAGCCTCACTGCCTTTACTACCCCAGAAAGTCAGGCTCCTGGACTGTCTAAGGGTTTTCACCCATTTAGGGTTCTCTGCATCACTACTTTCAAAGTTTGGAGCAGGTGCCTCTGACTGGCACAGCCTAGCTCTTGCATCCATGCCCTCACAAATCATATTTGTGAAATTAAAATCTTCCTCACTAGGCCATCCCCGCTTTGAGATAACCTGTTGTAGGCAGAACCCTGCATCCACACCTGTTCTTCCTCTTCTAAAAAATAGAAAAATGTAGCCATATGTAGAGATCAGGTCGTTAAAGAGGCAATTGAGTTAAAATGAAGTGTTTGAGTGGGCCTTAATCGATGTGACTGAGGTCCTAAGAGGACCTCACAGATATGCATGCATTCAGAGGGAAGCTGTGGGAATATGGGGTGCTTGTCCACAAGCCAAGGTCTCAGAAGACACCCTATCTTGAACTTGGAGCCATCCAATCAGTGGGTGTTATGGTAGCCCTAGCAAGTTAACATAGTCTCATTATTTCCTTTTTAAATGAACCAAAATTAAGCCATGTCCTGAAAATAGGAATCATCCATCCCTCATTTTTTTTTGTCTTTTAAAAATTTGTTCTAATTAGTTATATATGACAGCAGAATGCATTTCAACTCATTGCTATCCCTAATTTTTTAAATTTTTTTTATAGTTGTAGATGGACAGCATGCCTTAGGTTTTTTTTTTTTTTTCTAATGTGGTGCTGAGGATCGAACCCAGTGCCTCACACATGCTAGGCAAGCACTCTGCCACTGAGCTACAGCCCCATCCCCGCCATCCTTAATTTTTAACAAGGGCCGAACACTGTCCACTTCTTTCCATGGCACTTGCCTGCACCTCAGCAGTAGCTTCCAACTACTGGCCACTCCCAATCTTGCTTCATTCCAGTCCATTCTCCACAGAACAGTAATCTTTATTAAAACTTCTTATCGCACTTAAGACCAAGCTCTCCTGTAGCCTATTAGTCTCTACATGATCTGGTCTCTACCCATCTCCACCTTCACCTTTCCTGATTTTCCACCTTGTTTGCCTATTCCCTCAACACTGTCAAGAAGCCCAGTCTTTCCTGCTTTAGAGCCTTCCTGTATGCTGTTCTGTTTGGCAAATTGTACTTGCCACTGAAATCTCATTGCAGATCTTATGACTATGAAATTCCTTCTGTGGGGATGAGTAACTGTGTTCCCTCTCCTTGAATTTGTGCTTGAGACCCCAGAAGTGATACTATATTACTTCCAAAGCTGTGGCATAAAATAGGTTCTGCCCTGCTTCTTTGGTTGCTTGTTCTTGGAACCCATCCACCTGCTTGTGAGGAAGTCCAGGCAGTCCACATGGAGAGGAACCAAAGCCCTCAGTCCAGTCACCAAAGAGCTCCCAGCATACAACCAACTCATTTGCCAGCCATGTGAATAAGCTATCTTGGAAGATATTTCTGGCTCCAGTTAAATTCTCCTAGTTAATGCTGTTGGATCAAATACGCTATCCCTACCAAAGCCTGTTCGAATTGTATGAGTAAAATGATTCTTGTTTTAAGCTATCAAGTTTTAGAATGGTTTGTTACACAGCAATAACTGACATAACCTTGAATACTCTCCTCCCCATCCACCCACTTTGCATGGCTTTCTTCTTATCCTGTTTAAATGTCATCTTCCTGGTAGTTCTACCTAGGTAACCCCTATTATTGCCTGTTAATCACTATCTCAGCTTTTCCTTAATACCATTTTTATCTTGTAACTAATTATCTTCTCCTAAGCCAAAGATTTTAAAACTGAGGTCTTGATATATTAATGAGTGATAAGAACAATAAAAAGTAAAAAGGGCTGGGGTTGTGGCTGAGTGCTTAAGTGCCCCTAGGTTCCATCCACAGTACCCCCAACAAAAAGGACCAATTTTTTTTTTTTGGTGTGTGGGGCGGGCACCAGGGGTTGAACTTAGGGGCACTTGACCACTGAGCCACATCCTAGCCCTATTTTGTATTTTGAGACAAGGTCTCACTGAGTTGCTTAGGGCCTTGCTTTTGTTGAGGCTGTCTTTGAACTCACAATCCTTCTGCCTCAGCCTCCTGAGCCACTGGGATTACAGGTTTGTGCCACTGCACGCAGAACCAATTTTTAAAACACACACACACACACACACACACAAAAAAAATGGAAAATATCAGAGAAGTAAATAGTAAGGAACAAGCATCGTATTGTTAAGCTTATTAGGTATGCATAAATGTGTGTTAAGGCACAATGTAAAATATATTTTTTACTTTGGTCTGATTTTTAAAATGTCTGAAAGGCATTATACTAAACTGTCAATTCCTGAGGTCAGTGATCATGTCTTTTTAACTCCCTATGAACATCCAATATCTAGTCTAGTGCTTGACATAGTAGGCACTCAATACTAACACACAGTATATTTTAGAAATAAAAGCAGTATGAGAATTAATCAGCTGTAGAGACAGGAAATGGTCAACAAGAATGATACTCTGAAGAAATTTTGTAATGAAAACATTGAGAATCTTTTCACAAGCATCTTGAGCAGGAATGTTTTGGGAAAAGGGAGACATGTTCATTCATTTTGGTTAAGGATCCAGTAAAAGTGGGAAGACAAATGCAAGATAAAGAAGATATAATGGTGCAAGTCCCAAACACAAGCAGGAGAGGAAAAATCCAGGTTTAATTAGAGAGGTTATACTTACGGCAAGGGAGGCACTTCCTCCTGAGATTGAAAGAAAAGATAAATATTGAAGTAGAGAACCTGGAGCTAAAAGACTCATTTCTGAAGACTTCAACTCTCAACAAATTAAGAATCAAGGTTTGTGAAGACTTGTAAGGGCTCTGTGTTTGGGACTGGGGGTCTCTGATAAACTTTGTGATTGTGGCATGCTTAGTGGCTAGGAAGTTTCTGTGCAAAGGCACAGAATGCCTGGCTGCTGGGAAACTTCTGTGTAAAGACATGGGATGCCTGGCTGCTTTAGAGATGTCCTTCACAAGAAAGCTCTGTTAAAGTCGTATCAGCTTCAACCTTCATCTCAGGCACACAGCTCCTGGGGAATATAGGGACTCTCTTGTTAGAAAACCACAATGATTCACTGAACCTAAATCTGTCCACATAATAGTAACTTTATACAATGGATTTTCTTAAGAGCTGCACAAATCTCCTGACACTGCATATTGTAACTGTAACTGCAGAATAAGCAATCTTACTGACACTGTATAAACAATAATGTAGATATGGTACTAATGATCTAATGTAAATTATTGATATAAATAAACGTGCCCACTTGGACAAGCAGTCACTTTTCCTGCCTCTGCATCTTGTGTCTGTGTCACCCTTATTTTATTTTCCTTACAAAGACTAGTGGAATTCTGGAGCCTGTGAGAGTGGTAACCTTTAGGAATAAGATGCCTGAGAATGAGAGGAATGCCGGGCATAGTGGCACACACTTCTTATCCCAGCTACTTGTGAGGCTGAGGCAGGAGGGTCACAAGTTAGAAACCAGCCTGAGCAATTTAGCAAGACCATCTCAAAATAAAAAAAAAAAAAATGGCTGGACATGTAGCTCAGAGAATGCTTACCTAGCATGTGTGAGGCCAAGGATTCAATCACCAGTACTGCAAAATTTAAGAATGAGAGGAAGTCAACCAGAGATGAGATGAATCTGACACCAACAGAAAGATGTGGTAAGTTAAAAACTGTAAATATGAAATTGGGCAAATCTGCATGATTATATGATTTTACCCCCTGGATTGCTTGCCATCTAGGTATAGAAATAGAAAATTGATTGGAGATATATATATATATATATTTTTTTTTTTTTTCTTAAGTGGCAATGGTAGGTCAAGGGAGAAAAACAGATGAAAACATTGGTAAGAAAGTACAGTATTCTTGAAATAATTCAGGCTTGGTGAGGGAAGGAAATGAAGGCAGGAGAGATTAAAGTCAAAGGCTGGGGAAAATGCAATGGGTTTCATTTAGTGAGAGAAGATGGAAAGACAAGAAAATATTTTAAATATGAGAGAATTTTAGAGATTATGATATTAGAGGTGGCAATAGAGGTATGAAAACAAGCAACTGTGAAGCTGGACTGTCTACTGTGGTATACATTTCCAAGGCAATAAGAAGTGAAGGAGCTGAAATATAAATGTGTGCCAGGAACTAAATCAATGAAGAAAGAGTTTTCTAGATGTCAAAAGAGAAGATGAACAAGGACAGATAATAAACAATTTCAAATGGGGAGAAGTTACTGAAAGAGACTAGGCTTTTTTCCCCAGACATGGTCCTCACTGTTGCCCAGGCTGACGCTGAACTCCTGAACTTCAGTGTCCTTCCTGCCTCAGCCTCCCAAGTGCTGGGATTACAAGCAGATGCCACTGCACTCAGCTTTTTTGTTTTTTAGACATACAATGCATTTAAAAGTTTTATTCTCTCATTGAAACTGACAATATAAATAGTTACTTGGAGTCACATTATTCCTCTAATTTTTTCACAAAGAATATCCCATTTACTATGTAGTTCATGGTCTTCTGGGTATGTTCTAAGTAAAATGTTTGTCAGCATGGTAGTTTCAGTTGGGCAAAACTTGCTGCCAATAAAACTTGAATTTAACTTGTCACATATTGCCAGTGGTATCCAATGATCAGGTGCTTCAATATTGCAGATTTCAATTCTTCCATTCTTTATATCTATGAATAATTTAATTTCCAAGTGTGACTGCTCATATAACACATCCAAAGTAGTGTCTATACTAAACTTTGGTGTTTTGCCATATATCCATTCCCAAGTTTGTAGTTCTTTGGCTTTGCTATTTATTCCAGGAAACAGTGTTTCATCTGTTGGATTTATTAGATTAATGTGATTATCAATTTGATGATAAGCAGCATACTCTGTAGCAATAGCATTCATCAGCACTTCACAGGTCAGAGTGGGATCTTTCTCCAAAAGATTTTTCACTAAAGAAGGTATGCTAGTAGTGGCATTGCTCTTGATCCCTTGGTAAGGGCTCTTTAGTGAAGAAGACAAAGAGGTTCCATCAGTACTACATAATAAGGTGCAATGGTGATAAGCAGTAGTCCGGCCAATCTTTGAGGCTGTTCCTGAGATTTTAAACTGACCATCAAGTAAAAGGTCAAATCTTTTGGTAGCCTGAACATCCAGTTGGGGTTGGACAGCATTCAGTGCTCTCACAATTAATTTCAGATTGTCCATTCTATCATACTTTTTTTTGGTTGTAAAGAAAGTCAAATTGATATTACCCATATCATGGTAGACTGTTCCTCCTCCACTTCTTCTCCTAGCCAGTTTTATACCTTCTTCTCTCATCAGATTCAGGTTACATTCTTGCCAAGGATTTTGATGCCTACCAATCACAACACAGGGAGAATTTCTCCAAAAGAAAAGAATTGGCTTGCCTTCTAGGTTTACATGGTCATGGATCCAGTCTTCTACAGCCAGATTTTGATATACATCATTGGAAATTGATTGTAAAATGAGCCCACCTTTTGTAGTGTTTTTAAAGCCTGCTGCTGGAACCTTGTAATTACAAAGCAACTGGAAGCAGTTCTTCACTGAAAATGGGATCAGCATGCTTTTAAAAATGGAAGACAAAAAACAAATTAATTCAATGAAAAAAGGAAAATTAAATTCTACCTTCTAGCCATCAGTTATTGGTTATTTGATTCAAACTTAACTAGGTGTCCTGTCTGATTGCTTTTCTTGCCTGTTGGCTTTTTAGTCTTTGCAACTCTATAACAAAGTACTTTAAAAAAAAATGAAGATAAAATTCAATAATTTCAGTTGAAATGAAGGCACAGATTTTTCAAACAAAAAATGATGCAGCAAATACATTACACATACCAAAGCCAAACAAATTATTTTGAATTCATAATACATGTTCATTGAAAAAAAATGAGGAAACAACAGGTAAACAAAAGAACAGAAAACATAATCCCACCGCTGAAAAGAACCACAATTAACATTTTGGTATAAACAACCCATTTTATGTCTTCTGGGAATTATGTATATACATATAAATGATTTTTTATTTTTATTTTTAAGATGAGGTCTTACTATGTTGCCCAGGCTCGCCTCAAACTCCTGAGTTCAAGTGACCTTCCTGTCTCAGCATCCCAAGTAGCTGGGACTACAGGTGTATACATCATTGTGCCTGGCTCTCGTTCTACATTAAATCTATTTTAAAATCAGCTTTAATGACTGTGTAATATTTTATTATTAAATATATTAGTTCACAAGTTCAAGGCCAGTCACAATGTATAACTTAGCAAAAATCCTTCTCAAATTAAAAGCACTGGGCTGGTCATGTAGCTCAGTGACTAGCATATGTGAAGCCCTGGGTTCAACTGCCAGTACCATTAAAAAAAAAAAAAAAAAAGCCAGTTTACTCAGTTTCTTAGTCTATATTGCTTTTTTTTTCTAGTTTTCCTGTATTATCAACAATGCATTCATGAACATCTCTATGGAAAGTTCTAATTATGTCTTTACAATGTTATAAAAATAATTCCTATTTCAACTTGGAATATATGATTTACTGCCAGCATAACTTTTACTTAGGTCAATATTAAATTAGTATGAATTAAAGAACGGCTAGATTAGAGACTAGAAAAATCAGTTTACACCTTCCCTTAAGAAACATCTGGAGAGTTTAATAAAGGAAGGGATACTTGAACAGTGTTGAAATTTGATGGTTGATGGGAGTAGCATATGCAAAGGCATATACAAAGGCTGAAACTATCAAGATCTTCTACTACTAAGGCATGTTTTGGGTTGGCCTTCCCAAGAGACAGTTACACTGATAGTATTCTAGCTCCACTGATGCTCACAGCTCTATTGTCCTAGGAAGTTCTCTGCACTCAGATTGCATTTCTTTGGTGAATCTCCTTGTTCTTGGTTTTGTTTGAGTTTGATAAAGTCTTGTACTCATTCAATAAATATTTATGGAATGCCTGCTAGGCACAGGTAGTAAGAAGACAGAGAAGGGAGGAGACAAATTCATGTAATCCTAAAACATTTGGATTCTCTGTTTAGGCAGCTATGATCTACTGATGTGTTTTAAGCAGAAAAGTGTTGAGTCATACAAAACTATCTCCACAGTGTTGTGCATGGATTAAAGAAAGGCTAGACTAGAGACAAAAAGAGTAGTTAACTGAGAATGTACAGGTCTCACAGGAAGAGGAGGTATGGGGTGAAAATATTTGGTTCATTTAATTGTGTTCAACTTAAGTGTCTATGATTATTTGTCAGCCAATGGGACAGGGCTGAAAAGAAAGTAACTAAGGCCATGGGAGAAGATTAGATTGTCTCAAGAGGGTTCTGTAAGCAGACACAGAGCCTTCAACACAACCCTAAAGAGCAGCAACATTTAACAGATATGAAGAGAAGGGAGGGAGAGCTCACAAAGAAAACTGAGAATAATAAGAAGAAAAATTTTAAATAGGGCATTATGGAAGTTTCAAGGAGGTAAGATGCTGAAAATAGATCTTCATTAAGAAAGTTATTAGTGATCTTGGCAAGAACCAAGTATGCTGAGTGACTGGGAGGTCCACAGATTCAATGAATATATTCTAGTTGTAAAATGGAGAAGATAGGGCAATAGAAGAAATGTGGAGTTAGGAGATAACCTAACATGCAAGAGACTGAAGCAAGTTTAGATGTTGCTGGTAGGACGACTGGAAGAAGAGGGTAACACTGGTGAAGGGAGCTCCTTGAGAAAGTGATGGTGCTGGGATCCAGAGTTCAGAAGGAGCAGAAAGGATCCCCTTCCAATGTGATCCAAGGGAGAAACAGTGACAAATGGGTCAGAGGTATGTTGGACACTAATGAGCCAGAAAGTGTTTGTGGAAGAGATTCTCAAAGACCTTGTAACATACTCTTGTTAATATATGCAGAGTATGGCAGGATAGCAAAGTAGTTAAGATCTTAAATTTTAATTCTGGCTCTGCTGCTTACTAACTGAATAACCCTAGGAAAGTAGTTAACTTCTGGCTGCTTCAACTGTCTCAGACCTCACAGAATGGTTAAGAGAATTAGATGTTATTACACATAAACCATTCCTGTCTGGCCAATATGAACTGCATGGAAATGTTAACTGTTATTATAGTGTTCCTTCCTATCTCTGTTTTTCTGTTCCAGTCATAAAACATTATGTTCTCTCAAGTGTACAATGACTCACAACCAAGATGCAATAAAGTGGCATTTACTTTGAAAAATTAACCATAATCCACAAAATATTGGTCAAAAATAATATTTGCTAGGGTTCTATAACTGATCTGATTCATGTATTGATCCAATGTATGGATCATGAATTGATCTAATTTATGTATTTTAATAGTGCCAAACTCTCCATTCATCCAGGCACTGTGTATATATTATGAATGAAACACAACCCAGCAAAGGTATGAATTTGACAAATTCTGCATCAACTATATGACATGTACTCTTCTTACCACTTGGGATTCATCAGTAAGCCAAGTAATTAAGGGGGGTAAGGTCTGTAGGACGAAGAAAAACTAAAGCTGGGAGAGGGAAGACTGAAAATGTATATGCAAGAATCATTAGGCTTCAATTTCAAATAGGATTGTTAAACTACTCATCTTTAAAAAAGATGACATGGGAACAAAGATAAAGGAGTTAGGTTGAATGCTTATGTAACAAACTATTCTAGGCCTTAGTGAGAATGTAACATTATAACTGGGCCCTAAAGGATAACAAGAATCACACAGAGAAAAGTGGAAAGAAAGGTATGTCCAAGAAAACCTAAATGTGAACTTACTGGTTTACAGAGAGAACCATAAACTATTGACCAGAGAGAGATTCCTCTAGGCCTGCTCAACTACTTGCTATAGGACTACAGGTAAGGCTATTTATCTTAACTTTGGTAAATATGCATCAGAACCAAAAGACTGAGTTATATGATCTCAATATCAGATGGGATGGGTCCAGCAGAGGAAACCACCTCAATTCCTGGGACCAGGAAAGATTCTACTCTTAAGCCAGGATAGTGTTTACTCCTCGGGAGCTTTGGATTCGCTGGGACAGGTGTGCCTCTCTTTGGCTCTATGCTCCTGTGGCAGACAGGTACGGACTAAATGAAAGTTGCCAGGATATAGCTAAGACTTTGAAAGACTAGCAAAATTTTTTAAAAATCGCTTTGCATATCTACTCTAACCCTGTAATTACCAACCACCCTGTAATTACGAACCGTACACGTTTTCCTCAGAAGACGCTCTCATGTCCCTGTTCTGCGGGACACTTCGTTGTCACTGTGCACTGCCAAACATACTTCCCCATCACCAAACAGAAAACAGATTTAAAAAAACAAAAAGAGCATAATCCCGGCTAATCATAAAACCTTACCCAGAGTTTTACTTTTGCCACCTGACACACCCGACCGGGGCTCTGGATCGGCCGCTCTTAACAGAGCCATCAGGTCGTGCCGAGCGCGGAGCACAGGCTGCAGAGCCTGCAGCACCAGCCGCTGAAGGCCAGAGGCGCGCGCACGCAGAACCCGTCTCGGGGATCTTTGTCCTTACCCGCCGCCCGAAGAACCCCGAGCGCCCCGCTGGGCCCGTTGCCACCTGCCACCACGCGGCGTTCGCGTTAGATCTGCTTCCGGCTTCTCTCACCTGCTGCTTCCGGTAGCACCTACCCGCGGGGGAGGACTGGTACCGGAGAAGAACGGGTCGACCCCGGGCGCTCAGCGGCTGCGCACGCGACGCGCACCACCCCAAGCCCCGCCCACGAGCAGAGGCGGTACCCCGGCCCGGCCCGCCCACGAGGGCCAGAGGAGGCGTGACTACTTCCCGAGCGTGCCCTGTTTGCCTAGGAGGTCGCTGGGCGGGGTTCCTAAGGCTCCCTCGGGGCGTGCCAACTAACGCAAAACCGCCTTTGAGACAGGGTCGCAGGCCACGTTTGAATAAAAGTATCGAAAGTTATAAAGTCCCAGCTCAGATGGCAGTTCGCTGTGTGAGAGCACAGAGATAACGGCCGTCTCCCGGGGCGAAGGTAGGAGAGGCAGGTGCGCCAGGTGGAAGGGGCATTTCGTAGGCTTGTTCAGGGGGAGTCCCCAGAAACCCAAAGCACTCAGGTCACAGCCCGCAAGAGTACCAGCAAGTGCTCTTTACTGACTGCATGGACTCTCAGTTCAATTGGCAGGTAACTCAAAAGGGAAAATTAAAATCATTTTTGAAAGAAAAATTGCATTTAAAGGAATAAACGTTGGCATTCGCAACACAGAGATGGTAATAAGTTGGACTGAGTGGATCAAAAAGCAGACACATTGGGTTGTACTCATTGTTGGCAAAAAAGTCCTTCCCTTCAGCCAGACGGGAAATTCTCTCAAAAGCCAAGATTTCAGCTAGTTATTGCAGTGTGATAAAGCGCCTCAAACATGACTTATTATTTCTAAGAATTATGTGAGCAAGCTGGTTTCACCTGGGTTTACCCTGTGGCTCCATTCAGCAAGGGGTGGCTGAGCTGCGGGGGTCCAAGATGATCCTTATTCACACTCTGGCACTTGGTGCAGGCTACTTGCTGGAGCAGCTCAGTTCAGCACCTGGAGGCAGCACTTGAGAAAGCCAGTGGAGAGTTAAGGGATGATGGCCCCCTGTGAAGAGCAGGCTGTGCCCTGCTCCAAATTACTCCATGTGGTGTAGAACAGCAGTGCCTAGCCCTTAGTCACTCCATTTTATAAAACAACAGTTTGTCCTGAGCTACTCCAATTTGAGTGTCAGTGCCAAGGCAGAATGACTTGGTAACTTGTCTTGGCAAATAGATAATCATCATATTTTGGACATACAGAACTTTTTGAAAAGAATAACCCTCAGCTACACAGCACAATCATAAGGCACACACTGATAAGTTAATTAGTCATGCTAATAAAAATGACCACCTGTGGGGCTAGGATTATGGCTCAGTGGTAGAGTGCTTGCCTAGCATGTGTGAGGCATGGGGTTCGATTATCAGCACTGCATATACATAATAAGTAAAATAAAGGTCCATTAACAACTGAAAAATATTTTTTTTCAAAAAGAGTCTATTAAAAAAATGACCACCTGTGAACTTATTAAATTAGAAGCACATATATGCATGGACAATCAAATGCATATCAGAAAAACCAGGTTCATGAGTTTATTGTAGTCACCAGATATAACCCCCTCACCTAAGGCCCATAAAAGGAGGAGTACCCTCCTGGACATGGCAGCACTCTGATCCTGTCACTAATCATGAGTCTTGCCCACAATGCCACATCAATGGACTTTGGACTCTGTCCCCAGAGTTTCTCCTGCTCAGTGTTTCTCCTGCCCATGACAAGACGAGGCCCATGTCAAATGACCCTGTTAAGTGCCTACCTTCTGGACTCTCAACTTATGAGAACTGGTTCCTTAAACACTGATCTCACCACCTGCTCTCTACCTTTTTTCTCACTGCAGCCTTTGGAAACCTGTGGCCACTTTAACCCTTCGTTAGCATTTCTGTGATGTATGTACATCACTGTGTGAAGTATGATGTGACTTGAGTACTGCAGATATTATTAAGATTGGGATGGAATAAAAGAACTTGTGACTGCTCCACTCATGACACCAAGTGAACTGAGTGTATTTTCAGTGAATTAATCCCAATGAAAGTGATATAGTTTGTGAATTTACAGTTATTCAATAAATTTGACATTGTGGAAAGACACAAACATGTCTAGTCTATGTTAATGGCATAGCCCACTCATGACAACCCCTCATTTCTTGGTGAGAGGACCCCAAAGAATTTGTGACCATCTCTTTCAATCTTCCACAAAAACCAGTCTCTACTTCAGTTAGAAGGGTATCCACCAAGACTTATCTCTTGGAGTAAGCAGCATTCTGTGTTCACAGTTGGCAATGCTGATACCATCAATGATAGGGCTGAGTCTTATATTATGCAGGTAGAAATGGATTCTTTTCAGAGTTTCAGTAGGAATTTTCCTAGTTATTGATAGTAGGCCCATAATGTTGTCACTCTCTATATTGTTTCCTTCCAAATTTGATTTCTCTAAAGTAGTTTATTTTTCCTCTTCTTTCCTTCTGAGGTGGTTATAGAGAATCCTATTCTTTTCTCCCTGCTCTAAGATTTCTGTTCCTTGGCTATTGTTACCCGCTTTCCTACTTCTTCAGCTTCTCCCCTGGAACTTTCCAGCGATACTCTAATATGCTTCACAAATCCTCCAGAGACCTCATTTCCCCTTCCAACTTTCAATGTGTTTACTCCCTTTCAGAGCAAAGCTTCTTGGAAGAGTCACTATATATACAATATCTACTTCCTCACTTCATATTCAACCCACTCCAAAATGGCTTCTGCCCCATTTATTCCACCACAAGTGCTTTTGCTAAGACCACTGTGACATTCGTGTTGCTGGATCCAATGGACTTTTTGGTCTTCACCTAACCTTTCTGTTCACTGGTTCCACCTAGAAAGACTCCTATAGACAACGTTTATATTATCAACTTGGTTTTCCTTTGGCCTCATTACCAGCTTCTCAGTACCCTCTGACAGTTGCCCTTGCTCTGATCAGCCCCTAAATGTCAGAGTTCCTCACATCTTCATCTTCCCACAAATGTGCTCCTTAAACAATCACATTAATTCCCATGACTTTAAATACCAACTTGATACCATTGTCATCATCCATTGGACAATCATGTAACTGCAGAAATTATGTCATATCCTTGGAGAAGTCTTCCTAGTTCCTAGAATTGAAATCAACTGTATGTGTTATTCCTCCTGTTACATCTCTCTGAATGTTTTACACTTTCTTCATAGCAGATCTTATGCAATTTCTTTATATGTTTTGGCTTTCCTGGTAGACAGACAGAAAGCACTGTGAAGGCAGTAGCTATTTTATCCACTACTATATCTCCAGCACCAAGCATAGTGCCAGCCTTGGTGAACAATGAATTCTTTTTTTTCTTTTCCAAAGAATTATGTTTTGTAAGTGACAAAAAGCATTTTACTCATTTATGTATCATTTGACAATTTTGATTCTTTTTACTTTAGGCTCAATATTCCCTTCAAATACACTTAGCATTTGTCTATTATTTTTAAAAAAGAATATTGAGGAGATTATGCAGTGGGCATTACAGACAGTTGTTAAATACTACAGTACAGGAACATGTTCCAACTGTGTGTGTGTGTGTGTGTATGTGTGTGTGTGTTACTGGGGATGGAACCCTTGCACTTACTGGGCAAACACTCTACCACTGAGCTAAACAAAATATACTAGGGGTGTAGCTCTGTGGTAGAGCATGTGCTTAGTATGTGTGAGGCTCTGGAATCAAGTCCCAGCACCAAAAAACAAATAAACAAACAAACAACATGCATAATATAATTATAGGTCACTCTCTGTATGGATATAAAATGGTTTTAATTTCATCTAACATTACTTGGAACAACACTGCTGTTTCAAACTGCCATGTATTTCAATAACTGATATGTAAAACAAATTTTGAACACTAGATTATTTTTCTTATACAAAATATTGTAATATAACTTGTTAGCATCTGCAAGATATGCTGTGATATTTGGAAAGAACTATTTTCTAACTTTGAAATGAATTCCACATGAGGGAAAGTTTTAAAAGAAAAATTTTAAATGTGAAATGCTTCTGAAGCTATGTAATTTATTGGTTGGTTGTAGAGTTTATCTGCAGGAATCTTTTACAGAACAGAAATGCAAAATTATAGGAAGGCAAAGTATCCTAAGGAAAAATCCCAAATTGAAGATGCAACATACAAAAATGGTACAGCATAAATAGCATAAAATACTGGTGTGGAATTGCTTGAACACTCTGCCCCTCCCACCACCACTTGTTAAAGAAATTCATAAAAAGCATAGCAAAAAGTTTTGCATTTCAAATACTGTTACTAAAATATTCTATTTTTTTTTTAAACAAAGATAGAATATAATCCCAGAGAAATCTGCCTTGAATTTTGGAAGGCTATTTTTTTTCCCTTAAAGCAACTGCAAATTGCTTTATATAATATCTACAAATACATTTAGCATTTTTCTGTTACAAAATATTTTTATTCCCTGAAATCATGCCTTTTCCTCTTTTTAAAATATGAATATTGAGAAGATTATGCAGTTGGGTATTACAGAATTATTAAATATTACAGTACAGGAACAAGTTCAAATGTGTGTGTATGTGTGTATATTAGTTACTGAGGGTGGAACCCAGGACCTTGCACAGTTTTTGCACCATCAAAAAATATAGTTTAAGATGACTCATAAATAATAAAATATAAGATACTAACCTTCCTTCATTTTTTTAGATTTTCCCAATAAGGTTCAGTTCTCATTCAACACCTCCACTTATCAAAGGCAGTTTTTGGATTTTTTTGGTAATATGTGTATGATACTTCATTCCACATCTGTCATTTCTAGTCCATCACTTTCTTTAACATATACCACTGAACCCAAGGCTTTCTTTGAAAGAGATCCTGGGCCAATTCCTTCAATACTTGAAAAGTTTTCTTGGTTTGTGTCTTCTAATCTTATTTTCTTGGTGTTTTGAAATAAACGAGTCACTGGTTTCAACCTGCTTTTCTCAGTCCCTTGCATTAAGTGACTGTCCACTTTTGAATCCATTCGCATGGCAGATACCTGAGTAGCAGATTTACTAAATGAAAATCCCATTGGGACAGTTGAACAAATATCAAGGTTGTTTGAAGACACCTTTTTAAGTAGTTGAAATGTTTCTTCAATTTGATTACTGAAAAAAAAAGATGTAGGTAACTAGTGAATACAATAGGAATTTTGACAACTTCATGGCAATGTTGGTTTGGATGAAATATCATGGTAATGCCAAAAATATAAAGTAAAATTGCCTTTTACCTTTCAGTATTTACATTTTCTTTGTGGAAGTGTTTTTAGGTCTATAAAGTCCCTTGAAAGTCTTTTTTAAAAGGAATTTGCCTGACGTTATGTTTATCACCTTTCAGTAAATAACAGAACTTCTCTTAGTCTTGTCTTGTTATGGGCCAGGCTATATGGACAATGACCAAATAGACTCAATTTTACCCTGAGATTCCACATCATATAAGAAATGCTTCTCCCATGGAAATACCCTGCCTCTGTACCTATCAACAGTTGCTTATTAGTATAGTATAGCATGTCTGACAACACAAAATAGCAATTCTTATACAATGAAAGATTCTCTTTTTGTTTTCCATTTTTCTTGGACAATGTACCCTGTCAGAGATTGACTATTTATTTGTTTATTTATGGTGCTGGGGATTGAATCCAGGGCCTTGTGCATATGAGGCAAGCATTCTACCAACTGAGCTATATCCCCAGCCCCCAGATGTTAGGCTTTTAGGTAATGATTGGATCATGAGTATTCTGACCTCATTAGTGGATTAATCCATTGATAGCTGAATAGACTACTGGGGTGTGGGACCTAGTTAGAAGAAGGTCATTTGGGACATGTCCTACCTTCTCCCTGGTCCCTTACTTCTTCTTTCTCTCTCTCTACTTATTAGCTACCATGTGCTGAGCAGCTTTCCTCCATCACACCCTTCGACCATCTTGTTCTGTCTAATCTCAGGCCCACAGCCATGAAGTTGGCCTACCAAAGACTGAATCCTTGGAAACCATGAGCCAAAATAAATATTTACTCCTCTAATTTGTTATTCTTAGGTATTTTGTTCACAGTGACAAAAAACTTAGTAATGTAATGACTAATAAAGATATGGTACTTGTTAAGAATGCCTAATCTATTAAGAGAGATGAGCTTACAACCTGGGAGAAGTTCCCAAAGGAAGGGAGACTAAGTCAGAGTAGGGCCTTGAAAGATGGGCAGGAATTTGCTAGGTAGAGTTGACTAGGATGGCAGAGAGGACAGGTTTCCGGTCACAGTAAAGGAAGTACAGTGCTTATTGGAAAACAGCGATCTACCAAAGATGCAGACTCCATGGCTATGAGTGAAAGCCCATGCCCGTTTTTTTAGAATGTATTATTTCTTCAGTATTTATCTACTGTATTATCTGTTGATAGTTTACAATTCCATATCTATCAAGCCCTAATCATTTTCTATTTTAATTTTCTGAGGAATCTCTTACATCCTTGTCAATCTTTATTTGTGATTGAGTATCAGTGTTTATAACAAAACAGAATCCTGGGCCTGCTATAGTATGGTAAATAAAACAGTTACATGTTACTAATATAACAATCAGATAAGTAGTACAGATTTGGTTTTCTGGGAAGCAAATGCAATTTAGCTACATTTTAAAAAGATCTCTGATGAAGTTCTAAAATGTAGGTATACTTGTTTCTTATTTTTCCTTTTGTGTGTGTGTGTGTGTGTGTGTGTGTGTGTGTGCTGCTGGGGATTGAACCCAGGGCCTTGTACATGTGAGACAAGCACTCTACCAACTGAGCTATATCCCCAGCCCAGTATACTTGTTTCTTATATTTGGAACTTGAACAGGAATTTTTCTTCCTCATCAAAAAAAATGCCTAACACTACTTTCAAGTTAATAAAATTAAGTTTATACTATTATTTGGTTTCTTCTATTTAATTAAAAAGGAAACACTCATGTCAAAAATGAATAACTTGAGGCTGGGAGTGTAGCTCAGTGGTAGAGCATTTCCCTAGCATGTGTGAGGCCCTGGGTTTAATTCTCAACACAACAAAAAGAAAAAGAGAAAAAAGTATAACTTGAATCTAATCATAAAGAAAAAATCAGATTGAGGGACAAACAAAATTGAAAGACATCCTACAAAACAAAATAGTATTAAAAAGTGTCAATGTCATGAAAGGCAAAGAGAGACTGAGAAGTTGTTTAGATTAAAGAAAGTCAAAGGTACATGATCTCCAAATGTAATGAGTGATTTTTGAATGTGTTGTAGAGTGTAGTATAAAGACCACTACTTGGATAATTGTACAATTTGTATATAGATGGTTTATTAGATAATAATATTGTATCTATGTTAAATGCCACAAAAATATAATTGTATTGTGATTATATAAACGAATGTCCTTATTCTTAGAAAATACATGCCGAAACAATTAAAGTTGAAGGATCATATCTGCAACTTGCTCTCAAATTGTTTAGCAATAGGTAAGTACAGAGAGAAAGTAAAATATGCAAAATGTTAAAAACTGTTGAATCTAGGAGGTGAAGGATAAAAAATTGTGAAGCTTATTATTCTTGTTACAGTTCTATAGATTTAAAACATTTTCAAACTATAAAATTGGAATAAAGCTTATAAAACACTAATAAAACCCTATAAAACAACATATTGCATTTGAAATAAATCTAAAATAATGGTAATTTATTTAATTATCAATTTGCACATTAAACTTCATTCTAATAGAGGAATTAAGGAAGAACCAAATATCAGGGCAGATTTGTCCATGAAAGTGTCACTTTAACTTCCTCCAGAGTCCTGAGGACATGAAGGAAGAACAAGTGTGTTGGGGGCTTCTTTGACCCAGCATTCAGGTTGCTATTCAAGAGGAAATCTTGAATGTGTATGGAAGAATAAAGGTCCATGAAGATTAAATCAATTTGGACAAAAAGAACAAAGAGGCTTGTCTTATCAGATATTAAGATATGCTACAAAATCAAAGTAACAAAAGCAATCTTGTACAGGTGCAGAAACAAATAAAGGAAGAAAAGAACATGACAGAGCTGCAACTTGGACCTAGGTATGTTCATGAACCTCACATGTGCTACAGGAGGCACTATAAGGCAATGGAGATTGAGGACACTAAGTTTGGTATGTTGGCACTGTGAACACTGGCTCACCATGTGGACCATGAAGCAATCACATAGGATCCTGTGAAAGTAAAGCAGGAGCCCTATCTTACATATAAAAGTAAAGTTCAAATGTAGAAAAGACCTGAATGTGAATGGTAGAACTAAAAATACAATTGAAGAAAACATAGAACAATTTGTTTGTCACCTTGGGGTGGAGAAGGATTTCTTTCTTTCCTTTTTTGGAGAAGGATTTCTTGAACAAGACTTAAAGAATTTAGATTGGAGTCCTCATAATTAACAATTCCTATCAGTGAAAAAACCATACATAAAAAGGAATAAAAGTTTGAAAGGAGATATTTGCTATCTAACGATGACAGGGATAATAGCTGCAGTATTGAAAAAACTACAAATCAATAAGAATAAAGAAAACCCAAGAGAAAAATGGGCAAAGGATATAAAGACATAATTCATAGATTGAGGAATTCCAAGTGTGTTATGAATACATAAGAGATGTTCAAATTTAGTAGGAATTGGAAATCCAAGTTTACTGACATTATGGTTGACTAGAAAAGGGGATAGTACTGAATATTAAGGAGAATGTGGTATGACATGAAACCTTGTGCACTGCAGTGAAGTCATTTTTGACTCTTCTTTATCTTATATTCCATGTCCAATCTGTCAATGGATCCTGTTTCTACTTCTACCATGGCCTATACTGTAGTTTTCTAACAGTTTTGCTTTTATTTTTATTTTTTCGTTGTGGTTGGACACAATATCTTTATATATTTATTTATTTTTATGTGGTGCTGAGGATCAAACCCAGGGCCCCGCACTTGCTAGGCAAACGCTCTACCGCTGAGCCACATCCCCAGCCCCAGCCCCAGTTTTGCTTTTTAAAACATAAGCCAGATCACATCAATCTCCACTCAGCATACTCTAGTTGCTTTCCATCTCAGACAAAAAGCCAAATTCTCTACATATCTAGTCCTCACCCGTGGGAGGCAGAATAATGGCCCCCAAAGACCAGCTGACCCAGAGGTGGGAAGATGACACTGGATTAGTTGGGTGGCACCAATATAATCACAGGGGTCTCTATAAGTGAATGAGGAAGGGAAGAAGGTAGGTGTCAGAGTGATGTAATGTGGGAAGGACTTGTTGACTTTGAAGACAGACAAGGACTACAAGCCAGGGAATCATGAGCAGCCTGTAGAAGTTGAAAAGGCAAAAAATCTTAGTTTTAGCTCAATAAGAACCAATTTGGATTTCTAACCTTAAGAATCATATAATAGGGGCTGTGGCTGTGCCTGGTATGTGTGAGGCACTGGGTTCGATTCTTAGCAACCACATATTAAAAAAAATGAAGATCTATCATCAACTAAAAAATATTTTTAAAAAACCATATAATAATAAACTTGTATTATTTAAAGCATTAAGTTTGTAGCAAATTGTAGCAACAGAAAACTAACATACCAGTTAACACTCTCCCCTAGCCTTCTTTTCTCTTGCCCCAGCTGTATGAGCTCACTGATGTTCTTTAAGTATGTGCTGTGGCAAATCTGCATCTGCTTCCAGTCTTTGAACTAATCATTCCCTCAGATGGTAACAACTGTTAAACTGCAAATTACTCCCATTGGCAATAATTAGTGACATGGAACCTCAAACTATAGCGATCTGGTTAGCTTCTGTTTCCAGTCATAGGGGAGCAATGGGAACCAGATTTATGCTCATGCTTTCCCATTTAAAAATATAGACAAAATACATAAAAGTGGTTTTTAGATATTGGACAATAGGCTGTGCGAGACTGTGATCACTGAGAGAAAGAGAATAAAGAAGGTGAATTCTCTGAGGGCAAATTATTTGGAATTTTCAGGCTTCAGCACAGAAGCAGTGAACCCAAAGAGAGTGTGGTCATTTTAATGAACTGAGAAGACA